CCCGGGCCGGTGCTTCGGCGGCCTCCACGCCCGCCACCTGCAGCTGCTGGAGTGGCCGGGCCGGCCGCACGACGTCTTCTCGGTCCAGGGGGAAGCGAGCAAGCGCTACCACCTGATCCTGCCCGCCTTCTTCCGCCTCCTGGACACCCTGCACCGGGAGGGGAGGGCGTTCGCCGTCATCTTCAGGACCTTCGGCACGGACCTGCCCCGCGCCCTCCAGGCCGTCAGCTGCGCCCTGGCCGGGCAGCACCCCCAGTTCCCCACCCTGCGGGATGTGGTGGTGAGTGGCACCCCGAGGGCCCGGCCTGCTGGAGAAGGGCAGCCGGACGGCCTGCACGGAGCTCCCCACGTCAGGCTGCTCTCGAGCCACTTGGCCGTCCCGCTTTTAAAAGCGTCAGCTGCTGCGGAGAGGAAACACAGCCAGCTTCTCGGAAAGAAGCTGTGAGCCGGGGGGGAGCACGCGTGCCTGCAGATCCTGGGTGGGAAAGGTCTCCTCTCGGGGTATCCCAGGTCGGATGGAGCATCCCTTCTCCCGGAGAGGGCCCGCTGCAGCAGAGCAGGGCTCCCTGGCTCAGAGCCGATGGCAGCCGTGCTCTCCCCCCAGCAGCACACCGGGCAGGAATGCTGGGAACGAGCTTCGGAAGCTGCTTCAGTTGTTCCTCGGGGCGTTGACAGGGAACAGAGACTGAAACGGAGGCAGTGTGCAGCTAGGAGGTCGTTCCTTTCCATCCCAGGGGAGGGGATGATTTTTGGTTGGGGGGGTTCCACGCCTCTTCTTGTCTTCTCCCCAGCGCCGCCCTCCCACATGGTGGTGGGGAGTCTCCACCCTGCTGCTTGTTGTCTCTGCCAATGCACAAAACAACCTGTCTGCTTTGGAAACCTTTCCTCTCATGCTTTCTGTGGTCCTGCAGCTCCCTGTGGACCTCACCCCTGGCCAGATACGCTGCAGCAAGCGAGAGGTGGTGCTGACAAGGGGAGCAGAGCGGCTGGCCACCCGGGAAGATGGAAGAAAGCTTTACGACTACTTCAGCTCCTTTGAGGGAATTGGAGGCTTCCAAGACCACTTTGACTGGTGAGAAGCAGGGCACTGAGGAAGTGGGTTGGGCGCTTTCTCTTCTCCCGTGATTCTCTGAGCTTCTCCTGGTCTGGGATAGGTCCTAGTTTTGAGGTCTTTGTTACTTACGTGCTCCCCATTTTGCCTATGGGCAGCCTGATGGGGCTCTCGCATCTTTCCTCAGGTCCCCATCCCCCGGTGTACCTCCTGCTTTTCTCCAAACACCCCCTGATTTGTCACCTCACTGCAAAATGCTTCTCTTTCACGAGCAGCAGCAGTGGGCAGAGGGACAGGACGGTCTCCGTCCCACTTCCCCGGCTCACAGGGTTGCCCTGAGCCTGCAGGGCAGCCTTACCTGCCTTTACCTGAGAGCTGTCGCGCTCTCCCTCCCCTGACTGCTCCTTGTCCCGCTTGCTGTTTCAGGTGGGCCAGAAATCAGTTCTCTTCCCAGGGTGGGAAGCCCCTGTGGGTCGACCCCCATGATCCCGGCATTCACCACATCTTCATCGACGACAACATCCGGCTGGACGATGCGGACACCATTGTTCATCCCCAGGTAGGCTGCTGAAGGCCCCTCCGGTGCCAGCTGCCTGTGCTGGGGGGTGTCCCCAGTGAGGTCAGGCACGTTTTGCCCCCTTTGCATGAGTGTGAGCCTGCAAAGGGGGACCAAGGGCGTAGCCCCGCTGTCACCGCACTCCACGCCACCAGCGTTGGTGGCAGCGATGCACGGGGCTGCCCGTGGGGAAGGTGAGATCAGCCGTCAGCAGAGAACAGCAGGTGCTGGCCGCCTGCGCTCACTGCCGGGGGCCTCTGCTCCGCTGAGGTGAGTCAGCCCCGCTCCCGGCGGCAGCGGCAATGGCGGC